TATATATATATATATATATAACTCTTTTAGTTGTTCCCCCCACCCCTCCCCCAGCGAAGAGCTGTTCATTCGATCGATTATAAATTGAGAGTGCAGTGCCATGATCGAGGAGAGTGTACATGATGGCGAAGAGGACTTCATCTTCAGCGAATACGCCATTGATGACACACTTGACCCATTAAGCCGCCTACTCAACTACCATTCCTCGGGGTTCTCGCTCCAACGTGAGTTTTTGTTGCGTGAACTCGGCGACACTGTCAAGTTTGCTGGATTCGAACAAAGCGCAGCGTTAATTGTGCCACTGCTGAGTGGTTTCACTTCTGACTGCGAGCCTTTGGTGCGGAGGATGCTGGTGCAGCAGCTTCCTGCTGTGGCGACGTACTTTGTGGAGGAGGGTGGTGATCAAGGTTACGAATATCTGCTGAACAAATTTCTCCCCATCGGTTTTGAGCTTCTGGTCGACAAGAATGTGGAGATCGGTGCGTCGGCTTTGGAAGCTCTGAAGGCCCTCGCCAAACTTGTCAAACCGGAACATGTACAGGTGCATTTGCTTAGTGTTGTTGTCATGCTGGCCCACGATGAGCGCGCGGAGGATTACCGAGTTGTGGCGGCCCAGTTGTTTAATGAGCTGGCAGATATTTTTGGCAAGAACTGCTGCGTAAATGATGTTCTTCCAGAGTTGGAATTGCTGGCGAATGATAGCAACTTCTCCGTTCGCAAAGCTGTGGGTGCAAGCATGGGAAAGGTAGCCCAAGTGGTACAGGAAGAAACAGCAGAGAGTGTGGTACTTCCTATTTACCTGAACTTGTGCAAGGATGAAATATGGGGAGTGCGCAAGGCTTGCGCCGAAAGCATTGAAGAGATTGCACTCGGGGTCAGCCCTGAAGCACGCGTGACAAAACTGGTGCCAGCCTACCGGCTTCTTCTTGAGGACGCCTCGCGTTGGGTGCGCAATGGCGCTTATGATTTCTTAGGAAGATTTCTGCACACCCTCCACCCCGCGGACCTGAGCCCGGCGTTGCTGAAGCTCTACACGGATATGGCGTTCCAATCTGAGAGCGGTGACACGGATTACAGTGAGCCGTGTGCATTTTCATTTCCCGCGGTGCTTCAAATAGCCGGAAGGGAGCGATGGAACGAGGTGGGGGACGCCTATGCCACATTGCTAAAGGATGTGAAGTGGAAAGTGCGTAAGTCACTCGCACACTCTCTCCATGAAGTTGCCGTAATTCTAGGCCAGGAGATTACCGAGACCCACCTCGTGTCTGCCTTTGAGCTTCTTCTGCGAGACTTGGACGACGTGCGTTTGGGGGTTGTGCTGCACGCTGATGTCTTTCTTGGCATCGTAGGACCGGCGATGCGAGAACGACTCGTTCCCTTGCTGTGTCATGTCCCTTTAGAAAGCGAAAACTGGCGTTTGCGCAATGTCGTTGCGCAACGCATCGGTGAAGTCGGTGTGCTCTTGGATCCTTCCAGCAGCGTGGCCCTGAAGACCGTCATTACCCTAGTGGTGCGTCTCCTGGACGATAGCGTGATGGAGGTGCGCTGTTCAACCTATCGGTCATCGGCAATTCTGCTGAAGCACTTGGCCGACGCGGGCCTGGAGAATTCGTGCGGTGGGTACGCACAAACGTTAGAGCAAATTGCCGATCGCCACAATTTCCGTGGCAGACTTATGTTTGCATACGTTGCAGAGGAGGTGGCGAAGATCGGAGCGACGTCCCTTGTGGAAAAGTACTTCTTGGCTGGACTGCTCAAGCTAGCGAAGGACTGTGTTAGCAACGTGCGGCTCGCCGTGTCCTCTGTAATATCACGGACATTTCTGAATGACGCCGGATGGTCTGTAAACGCGCGGGTGCGGCAGATACAAAGTATCCTCAATGCAATGGAGGCTGACGGATAGCAAACCCTGCATAAGCGCCTCCAGCATCACTCGCATCACTCACGCATTCCATGTAGAGGCGAGCTTATGATTGTGATGGTGATTATGATGATGATGCATTTAAAAAAGAAAAGAAAATAAAGGATGCCTGCACACAGCACTACTTTCAGCAAGAGGAGCATAAGGGTTTTGTGGTGGTACACATGCCAACACACCCCCTCCCTTTCCCTTCCCCCCAAAAGATGTATATTTTTTGGGCGGCAGTAGGAACGTCAGCAAAACAGGCATGCCTTTGACCCTTGGCGTGGGTGCTCAACCCCTGGAAAAGAGGGCAACTGATGAATACAACGTTTTATTATTATTATTATTATTGAGTATTATGTAGAAGATAGGGTTTATGTGTCGTGTTTGCGACGCAGCTGGACTCTTTCATTACTCACTTCGTCCCTATGAACGTCCTTCTGATAGAAAATGAAGGCCTTGATATGTTCCCAATATGCCCACCTGTTTTTTTTTT